TATACCGTCGATCAAACGTATGTTTGTTCATCACCTTAGACGAATACAAGCATCTTTTCCAAAAGCCACTCATATGGCTTAAGTTTGTGAGTGCTAGGCACCAAAATTCCCAGAGGGTGACTAAATGGACAAAACGCTAAGCGGCTCTGTTCAATTTGATAAGAAATAGGAGTTGTGTATGGCTGTGCGACAGGATAAATGTCATTAAAAGATATATCAGTTGCAACTTGGGGTCGGTTGCCTGATCATCGGATCGTATAAGGGAGAAGCCTAAGTTTCGCCTATTCGATAATTTATAGTTAGACTGACCTAGTATTTAGAAGAGTAACTGGATTTCGATAAATCTCCTGATACAACATTGTCGAGGAGATCTTCTTTTTATATGAAAGTGTGTAAAGAAGAGATTCGGAGGTCGATCTCACCAGAAGATGATGGCTGATACCCGTTGTACTTCAGTCGCCTGGCTTTAACACGACGTTCAGGCTGACGCAGCCCACCAGATATCCTACATCGCTTCGGGTGAAAACAGACGGAGCTTTCGTCCATCATTCGATGGACATCAGCAGAGCTGGAGCTCATTCATGTAAGTTTCACATTAATAGTAGTTCAAGAATACTATCCGGCTCTATCTTACCTCTTATATATACTCAACAAAAAAAATAAAGTGAATGGACATAGGTAGATCTATAATTGTTTGGCTAGTTATCTTTCACATTAATCATGTTATTTTTGTTCGAGTGTGTGTGTGCTCGCATATTGACATTTACACATACACTCGAGCAAGAGTAAGAAGAATAATTTCCAGCTCAGCCCGTCAACCAGAATGCCGTATTAAAGCCAAATGGCTGTAGTATAACGAGAATTAGTCACTTTCATACGAAATAAAGATCTTCCAAATAACGAGTTAGTATTCTTATTCCGGGCGACTGCGCCTTTGAAAAATGCAGTGTTTTGATATGGGCCAAGGTCTCCGTATTTCAACAGCTCGGGCACCCTATTGTTTTATACTGAACGAAGCTATGTTTAGAAAAATACCTTTGTTTCCCAACCTCCAACAATCCCACCTGTACCATTACATATGTAAACTATTCCATAAACGACGCACATTAATAAGTAAAGTCAAAATGCATTTGAATGTTATGGCTCTTTGAATTTATTACAGAAACACGTCATAAGGCAAGACGATCAAAATCTTTTGGAAATATGTTTCAGGTACTAAGGCAACCTTCGGACAATGTGGATATGCTCTTGATAAGTGGTGATGACTGAAAAGAAGAAAGGCAACTTAGATTCGACACAATCAAAGTCCAAAAAAGCTCAATCTAATGTAGACTCTAGAGAAATTCATCAGTCGTGTCCAGGTCACATTCGAGTCGAGGAAAGTGGAATCTAGGATTTGGAAGACAATAATAAAAGTCGGATAAGCAAAATAGGTTGATTAAATGACTCCAGAAGACACCGGCTCTATTTGAAAAGTAGCAGCTCCATAATCAAATAAAGAAAATGAGGAAGGCATCACTTTTAGACATCCTTTCCTACGGCCAGTTCAGTCAAGCAGAGTCCGGAGCCTGTACAGAGGGCATAATAACGCGCTTCCGACTCCTCGCCATCAACAATGGTCTGGTGTATACCGGGTAGAGAGGCAACTACTAGTTCATGCGGATCTGCTAAGCCGATGAGCAAGTCCCGCAATGGCCTTAAGTTCCAACCATCCCATGTGCCGTCGCCGGGAGGGTCAACGTGCCAGATTAAAAGCCTCTGATCCGCCGACAGACTTGCCAAATTGAATTTAGGTACCAGTTTTCCAATCTTACTGTCAGTAACACAGTTGGTTTGCGAATGAAGAGCGGCCACTCGAACCACAGCTGCGTAATGCTGGCACTGATAGTCGAGCCAAACTGCCGAGGCTGGCGACAACTCGGCCTCCGGCAACTCGGACTGAGAATGCGGAGTCCAGGCGACTTTAGCAACAGCAACACCACCGTCGTCCCCACCGACCGCCAACAGCCTGGCAGGCGGTTCTGGGCCACCGACGTGTCTCAGAGGGCCCAGGTTCGCAACGCTATTGATGGCGCATTGGTGGGCGAAAGAGGACGGATTTCGGGCTTCAGTTTCATCGGCTTTCCAGAGGTCAGGGCCGGAGAGGCACCAGGCTCGACGTGCAGACAACTCCTGAACCCAGGAACCCTTATTTCCAGGCCCGTCCGATTGAGGATCCGCACAGCACGAGACCTGCCAGCCTGTCACGAGTCCCCGAGTAGTGCAGGCAGCCAACTGCCAGCAGACCAAAAGCCGACCGACTTGAACCTCGGAACATGAAACAGTTAGCGTCGTCAAGTCGAGATGGCAGCCGTCGGGCTCTGGAGGGTCGATGGGTTCTGGTAGAGGCAAGAAGCAGGCGCTTGTTGAACCTGACACTGAATCAGGCAGACAGATCTCCAGAAAGCTGATTTGAACAAGAAAAAGCAAAACAGTGAAAGTAAAGGAGCAATGACGTGATCTGACCTTGTTTTCGCAAAATGATGGCCTATTTGGACGCACTTTGTTCAAAGTCATTTGATGCAGTAATTGTTAAAATTCGCAGCGTTTGACCATGGACTTGTTAAATTTTCAGCGCTGTCAATTATCATAACTACTATAGCAGAGGGCTTCGGATAAGGTACATTCAATTAGATAGCCCTGGCAATACGATCAAGTTGCGAAAACGAGGCCAGATCAATTTTATGCATCGGAAGGAGACCGAGATCAAAGTAGAGGCTACAACAACTTGTTCTTAATAGCTACAATTAAACAAAGGAATAATGTAGTGATTTCATGGCGCAATTTGGTATCACATATTTTTAATGGCTTCAAAAACTGAAGTGAAAAGAAAGAGGAAACCAGGAGTAATATAAGTGGCCCGTCTAGCATCACCTGAAGACTAATGGCACTAAAGCGGTGCTTTACACAATGAAAAAGCAAAGTTGCCTAATATAGGTGGAGCATTTGGAAAACAACGAGACTTTAATTCGCCAAAGTCGTATGCTAATGCGCCGGGTCAAAGCAAAGTTGTTCAGAGAGAGGGGTACTAATGAAACAAAAATATCAGCCATAAGGAGTAAAGCGTTTTCTCCAAGCTTGATTCGCGACTCTTATACAAAATCCGTTCTAGTCAGTCTGGCCAGACCACATAAATACATTTCCAAGAAGAAAAGCTTACTACAATTTTCATCCTCAAAACAAAATCATAACGGGCTTCTGCTTTACCCACCTTGATCACGAAACCTGTACAAGTGAGATTAATGCCAAATCGAAGGTTCGTGATAAGACATCGTTGGCTAGGGCGAATATGTAAGAAACCAATCAATAAATGATATATTTATTTTTATAAAAATAAGTATAATGTTTAATTTATTAAAATATATAAAATAGATTAAAGCCACCCCATTTATAATTTATAAAAAAGAGTAAAAATTAATTTATAAGGAAATAAATGTATAATTGTATACTTAAAATTTTGTGTATAATACTACTATCTTATCTATAAATTTACTTGTATATATAATCATGTAAGAAACCAACCAATAAATTATATATATATTTTTATTTAAAAGTTATAAAAAGTAATATTTATTATTTATTACAATATATATAATAAGTTAAAAACACCCCATTTATAATTTATTTAAAAAAATAAAAATTTATTTATGAATAAATAAAAATGGAGGTGAGAATTGACAAAATGTTAAGATTTGTCAGCTTGCTGCAAAAAGTAGTTGAAAATGATTTCAACTGATATAAATAGTTCAGAGGTGAAGGACTACGTGTATAATGAAGCTGATTGCGATTTATTGAAAAGTATCTCTTTCTTGCTTCTTTGTGCTAGAGTAACTAGATAAAACTCGAGAACATGTTAAGTACTAAAATATATCAAGTACATTATTACAAAATTAGGGATTTTGCGTAGGGACAAGATGAGTTTACCGAAGGTGACCATTTGAACAGGCCACGCAGACGATTATGTGTTGGTCCTGGACTGATGGTGAAGAAACTTGTGGTCGATTCAAAATAACCGCTTGCATTGCCATAAGCCTCACGTCCGGATAGACTTTACATCCCGACGCATTGGTCCCACTGAAATACGGCATCCGGTACTGTGGTTGCATTGATGGTATTAAGGTGAATGTCAGACTGGCTCCATTGCTATGCTCATCATTTTCACTCTCTTCTTCTGTACAGCCGCCATTGTCTTCTTCATTGCCAAAGACTGGGATATCTGGTTCGTTTGATGCTGGTGGTTTTGAAGTCTTCCGACTAATAATACCTTGCAATGGCCTCAGCTTACCCGATTGGAGTCGCGCTTGACCAAGAAAAACTGGTCTCAGCTGAGAAGAGGAGGGGCTATCCACCAAACGCCAGACCACAAGTTGACTCCTACCTCCACCAGTCAACAATATCATAGATACAGCATTACTACCCTGCGATCTGGTCACAACGGAAGCAGAATCGGCGTCATTGGCAAAATCAGAAGCGCAGAGAGCACTGGACTGAGTGTTAATCGGTAGCAAAGTGTGGGCCATTGTCATGCAACGAATACTAGAGATATGACCCTTATGGTGCAGTGGGAGATGCAGAAAACTGATCCATTGAGAGGTATTCGTCGATGCTGGGGAAGAGGTCAGATTAAGCATAAAAATCAAAATTATCCTTTGAAAATACACAATTGTATACGATTAACAGAGTTTCAAGGGTTCGCATTTTCGAAAACAATAAAAGCGTAAACAAAATAGCTAAAAGTGGTTTGACTTTGTTTTCGCAACTTGTTCATGCTAACAAAGACCTTGTACGAAGTCCCCTTCTGTAGTAGTAGTTATCATAATTCCCAGCGTTGGATTGTGGAGTTGGTAAATTCCCAGACCTTATTGCAGGTATTGCCATTCTCAACACCAAGCTACAATTCGTTAGAGACAAATGAACTCGATGCTTTAACCAACTGTCCGCTGAACGGTTGTGGCCAATTGTAGCTTAGTGCTAAGAATGGCAAGACTCAGTGACAACGCTGGTGAAAAGTCTGAGAATCTACCAAGTTCACGATTCAACACTGGGAATTAAGATAACTACTATAGAAGAGGACCGTGGACAAGGTGCGTCCAACAAGACCGAGTTGCGAAAACGAGATCAAGCCACTTCTACACATCGAAAAGAGACTGCAACTAAAACAGAGGTAACATCTTAGTCTTCATATATAAAGCAAATAAAAGCTTAAAAAGGCCAAATATCAGCAAACTTAGAAAATGAGTCTAGGCCATCTATAGGAGCTTGACTTTCAAGAAGTTGTAGAAAAAATATACCGCTTTATATCACGAGGATTGATAGTCAAAGTAAGTTGATACGGAAAGAAACTGGGTTTCGAACAATCTCCTGAGATAATATTGTTGGGGGGACTTTGATTTCGTATGAAAGTGCACGAAGAAGAGATTCGTAGGTCGATCTCACAAGAAGAGGACGGACGAATCGCGTTTTTATACGACGTTCAGATTGAGGTAGTTCACGAGGCCTCCCTCGTTTCGGCTGAAAACGGGCTGAGCTTATGTTTCCCATATGATGGACATCATCAAAGCTGGGTTACATTCCTGTAAACGTCTCAAGCTAACACTAGTGCAATAAGACTATTCGACCATTTCTTGCCTCTTATATAAACACAATTAAACAATATATATATATACATATAAGTGGACGTCAATATACACACACAGACACTAACAAAAGTAGCTAAACCATTGTATACCAATGTAGGCTTTTTAATTTGATTTCGCTTAATTGAGTCTATATAAGAGGTAAGATAGAGTCGGATAGTCTTCTTGCCCGAGTGTTAACATGAGACTTTTACAGGAATGAGATCCAGCTCTGATGATGTCCATCATGCGGGACGAAAGCTCAGCTCGTTTTCACCTGAAACTAGGGAGTTCTCGTGAACTGCGTAAACCTGAACGTTATATAAAGGCCAAACGGCTGAAGTACAACGCGATTTATCCGTCCTCTTCTTGTGAGATCGACCTACGAATCTCTCCTTCATGCCCCCCAACAGTCAAATTAGGCACGATTTGATACACTAGCCTCTTATTCCGCCTTTTGTGATTTTATTTCCAAAATACTTTTTTGGAAAATAAGGAGGTTCGGTAACCCATGATAAAGTTTTTAGGAGTGAAGCAGTGATGAAAATGATAACCGAAGCATCTTGTCAAGGAGGTGTCTTGGAAGACGCTTTAAAGAACCTAGCGAGAAACCGAGAGATGAAAGAAAAATAAGAGGGCTGTTGTGTTGCATGGAGCAATGACGTGGTGTTCGCTGCAATCATGATATAGATTATTATAGAATTTGGCTATAAATGTTCCCTAAGCTCTTATCATTCGGTCTCGACTTCAATTAGTCATTTTAGCAGAAGCCCTGGCTCGATTTAATGGTGTCCATCAGCCCCTCGATCTTAGATCTATTTGGAAGCACGACAAGCATAATTTTCAATTCAAAAAAGTTCCTCCCACAAATTTACAGTGTATTGATAGAAAACAATGCATTTTTGGCATTAACCGAGATAGAAAACTCTATTTTTCCGTTAGTAACGAGTTTGCTGTCGGAAACCTGGTTGTAGTAGAGATATAGTAAAATAACAGTGAAATGGGCGTGTGGACAGAGTCAATATTAGAAAAATGCAAAGACCGGTCGAAACCCGTACACCCTTTATATATCCTGTGGAAATGAAGAAGTGTAGCCTATCAAAGTGCATGCTTGATTCCAAGAAATGAGTTTATCTAAAGTCCAACCTGGAAGGGGATGCAGATGCAATTTCTGAGGAGCAAATCGTAACCCATTCCAGATGTGCCTGCCAGGACCAGTTGGCATTGCAATTGCGAATGAAAGGATAAAACAATCCTTATAGTTCAAGAGTCCTCTAGGCGTGTAAAGGGAACTTGGAGCGAAGACTTAAAGTTGATATAATTATCGTAGTCGGTCGAACTGTATGGTCCGATAGGTGTAGTGAACGCTCAACGACTGTATGGCAGGCGATGAGAGGGAACGACACAGTGCTGAAAACAAATGCTTAAAGAATAATCGGTAGGCCAGGGTTATTTTAAGAATTACTGATGACCACGGAGCCTACTCACATAAAAAATGTTGTATAATTTAGATTAATGAGTGAATAAAGCCAAATAACCCTAGCAAGTGGTCTCGATCAAAAGGCACAATTTTAGCATCCAACTTCTAGAGCCTCACTTCTGCCTACTTCTCTTATACTTGATGATAAAGGACTGGTAGTGGAATTTCCCTACAATCAGACGAGTAGATCTTACGTTTCTATCGAATTTCATATAGCCTTACTTACTAAAAGCTATTCTTATACCGGCTGGAATGGATTGTAGTTTCGACATTGAGTAGGTCTCATCAGCACGCCCAGCGGGACTCGAGCCATGACGGTGCGGCGAATAATCTCGACATGTTAACCACCTCGTCCCGTTACTACGAGTGCTCTTGGGTTACAGGATAAATGTGAATTTCAGGGAAGGTTAGGAATTTTCCCACATCACATTCTGTGGTTGGACTGTTAAGACGAAATAGATTGGAATACACCCCATATATCCGATTTACTGGTAGTCTCGAAACCCTACTTAGAGACAAAAAATACTTTTCTTATCTTTCTATTTATAGAACACACGCATAATTAAAAACTCTTGCAGCAGCTTCTTCTTTAGTCACCCACAAACTGCTTATTGCCAGTTGCCCGCCGAGTATTCCTATTCCCACATCACCATGGACAGGGCCGGTCTTACGGAATCGGAGTGACCTAGACGCTAAGTTGAAGTATCTACAGATAACATACTTGGGACAAAGAAATTTATTTTCAAAAGCTGTTTATTTGCCTTAAAAATATTAATGAGCTCTGTAAATAGACAATCTCACAAAAAGTACCAGAGTCAAGTATAAAATGTCCGTTTTTATCATTAATTATTAATTACTATTATTAGGATACAAAAATCGCTTTTTTATTGGCTAAACCAAAAGCAATTAACTTATTTAGTATGTTCGACCACAACAGGAAATAGCACCGTCATCTGGATTCATATAAACAAATTTTGCAAGTGCCTAAAAGATAGAGGTTTTGATGTGCATAGAAATTCCAAGGCGGCAATATTTTTCTAAACTGGAGAATTCTCCCATCAAAGTTTCAAGATTGTCTCTGACAGACAATCTATCAGTAAAGTTCACTTTATCATCGAAGGACGCTGAAGGTCTATCGATATTACAGGTCTTGCTCGCTGTACAATTGCTGAAAAATTGTACCAAAGTTAATTGGCTGACTAAAGGACTCCCAATTAACGACATCACTAGAGGACGAAATGGAAGTTTGGATAGACCCGTTAATCAAAGGGCTATGAGAAAATCACATAGGTACGAGAGCAGCACTTCAAAGTACGTCGATTGTAGAGACCGGGTTCAAAACATACCTAACAATAAGACAAACTTATCAAAAGTATACAAAGTTTAGCCCACATATGTCAAGAGAAATGGCCATCGTGAAAACTCCCAACTTACTTTTGGTTTCAGGAATAAAAGAGCTCCAACTTGACAGCATCGAATCTTCGCCACCAGAGAAGACATGTAAAATTACTGCGGTAAAAATTGAAAAAAAATCTTCAAGACATGACAAGTGACTATTCGTTTTAAAGCAAAACAAATATTGTAATATCTATAAATAAATGACTACAAGGCTGTCTGAAACGATCCAACTATCTTTAGACAAGTTATACTCTGGGACCTGTACTGAAATTTGGAAGAAAGACAAAAGACTTATGCATATGATGTTGCCCAAATGTGTGCAAAGTTAGTTGGTAGAAGTCTGTAATATGTGTGAATGAGATGAAAAGGAGCTGGAAGCGAACAACCGACACAACTTACTGAAGTGGTTCCACATTTTCATCTAGATCCAAAATTTGTGAACCTTCTACAGGCGACCAAACTCCAGCCAAGTAATGAAGCAATGTGACTGTCACTGGTTTTGGGCACTACTGCGTTTACATATGCCTGTCATGCCAACATCAAGTTCCGCTTTAAACACGCATCAATGGCTATTCATGAGTCACACAAGAGATACAGTGTGAGTGTAACATTGGATTCGTTGAGTCTGCGTCCTGAATTCATCTCCCATAGGCAATTAGTCCATGAATTGTACATAATCTAATCCCAACCTTTAGGCCTATAGTTTATCTTCACTCCCTTGGCATGTGTTAAGGTCAGTAATCTCGCATTAAACGCCTCTGCATGCATACTTCGACGGGGTCAAGCGCTGTGATCAACTGGTACTGATTCCGTTACTGATTCTGCGATCAGAGATCAGTCCAGTGGGCTAAAACAGTACAGAAGGCAAGAAATGAGAGACCTTTTACTCCGAACTAGGCCTCTCCTTCTAACCTTAACAGCTAATGTGGTACTGATTACGCGCTGTTTATGAACATCGATGATGATACAATAATCCAAAGCCGA